ACCCTAAAAAGTCGATTTGGTCAAAATTTTCGATTTTTATTATTATTGCATCTGATAGAGAAAATTTTCCTCTATCAAATGAACTATAGTTTATGGGATTTGTAACAAATTTTGATAGAGAAACTCGGGTTTTTCTGAAACCTGGTTTTCTGGAGAAAAACTTTTTTTGTGAAAATTTTGATTTTTCACAGTGGTAATGTTGTCTAATCAGAAAGAATCGCTACTTACAAGTATTAAATACATATAGTTACTCGCGAACGTATATATAAACGACAGAATGAAATAAAAATGTCGACCATTTACATCTAACTTAATTTTTCATTGGAGATTCAACGTGGGAGTTTCGCGTTGCTTATTCATAAATATAAACTTACATAATTTTAAATACAGAATAACTTATCGGTGATATAAAACCTTACACCGTTAACTATCTAAAGTACATTAATTGATCAAACTACTCCATTTTATTTGTAAGTGATTGCTAATTTCGAAAGGTATATGATGTGTTTTCTCCTTCGCGGATCGTTACCTTGTCGTGGTGAAGGGGCTTGCGTATCTCGATGGCGTTGTGAACTAAACCGTGGGGAGTGCTCACTCCCGGCAGGGTCACCCATGACGGACAGGGCACAGCCGAGAGATCAGACTAAATACGATCCACTGGAGAAGGAAATGGCAACCCACTCCAGTATCATGCCAGGAAAACCAAATGGACAATTACAACCAGGATAATCTCAACATAGTACTGGAATATGAGACCCTCAGGTCGGAAAGTACTCGACCAGCTACTGGAGAAGAGCAAAGAACAAGTACGAGTAGGGCTAGAATTATTTATGACGTGGCTGGAACAAACCCGAAAAGACGCCCAGCTACTGACGCATCTAGTGTCAAAAGGGAAGTTCGATGCTCTAAAAAGCCACATACAATCGGAACTTGGAACGTCAGAACGATGAACCTAGGTAAACTTGACGTTGTCAAAGGAGAAATGTCAAGAATAAGCATCGACATTCTTGGAATTAGTGAATTGAAATGGACAGGGATGGGTCATTTCATATCAGATGAATACCACATATTCTATTGTGGACAGAAGATTCACAGAAGAAACGATGTAGCCATAATCGTTCATAAAAGGCTGCCTAACTCAGTACTTGGATACAACCCCAAAAATGACAGGATAATATCAATTCAATTATTAGACAAAACCGATTAATGTCACAGGGATTCAAGTCTATGCACCTACTACGGGCGCAGACGACGAAGAAATAGAAGACTTTTATGTCAGCTTGCAGCAACTCGTTGATGCAACACCAAGAAAAGATACCATTGTCATCATGGGCGATTGAAACGCAAAAGTAGGAAGTAAACTAATAACTGGTATAACTGGAAATTTGGACTAGGAGACCGAAATGAAGCAGGAGATAGGCTATTGGAATTCTGTCAGGACAACTCCTTGTTTATAACAAATACGTGCTTTCAACAGCCTAAAAGACGACTCTACACGTGAACGTCTCCGAACGGACAATACAAAAATCAAATCGATTACATACTTTGTAGTCAAAGATGGAGAAGCTCCATCCAACTAGCTAAAACAAGACCTGACGCTGACTGCGGCTCAGATCATGAACTGCTTATTGCTAAGTTTCAAATGAAACTAAAGACAACAAGCAAAACAGTTAGACCAGCACGGTATAATCTTAGCAACATTCCGTGTAAATATGCGGTGGAGGTTAAGAACAGATATGACGGGCTATATTTGATTGAGAGAGAGCCAGAAGAACTCTGGTCTGAAATTCGGGACATCATCAATGATGAGGGAAACAAAAAAATACCAAACGACAATGTTAGCTCTCATATATAGATATATAAGAAAGGGAAGGGAAGGAAGGAAGGAAAGAGAGATATATNGCAGTTTCTCTGCTTTTCTCCAATTTAAGATATTTTCTAAGTCCTCTATCTTCTCAATATAGCTTCGATCTTTTTTCTCTCATCATGTATTACTTCAACTGTTATTAATCAATTTCCTAACCCGTTCACAATACATAGACCGCTATCAGTTTATAAATAAAAAATACCTCTTCATATTTCTATATCAGATGGCGTGGGTGTTAAATGAAAGTTCACATGCACACAACCACCGATTGGTGAGCGTTTTTCCTGTGATGAATGAAGAAGCAACGTTCCCAAAAAGTATTGCATCGTATCTATTGTCACCACAAACCCTCACTGATTATCATATCCAGATATGCATCGAGCCCATATTTTTGCTCGATGAACCCAATCGAAATTGTTACCATTGAATAGAGGATGAAGTCTTCTGTCTCACGTAACCTGTGGAACGTCCATCACACAGATCACAGGTCAAATCGGGGTTGAAAATATTCGAGCATCGTGCTAACTTTACTATCATCTGCCATTCGTAGGCTCTTTTCTCAAATCAGATTTAATTGTCAAACTAACCTGAAATTGAAGCTTTGGTTATGATTGATATTTTGTTTATAAACGATGTAGGTTCTTCCAAAATGGAAACATTCAGTGGTTGCTCAAGCTTTTTCTTCATTTCTTCTAACAACAGTCTCGATTTGTTTAGATGAATCTCATTGAAATCATCATCATCTCGCAATTTTCTCAAGTCAGCAATGAATTGATTTAATTTCTTTTTCATTTCAATAATATTATCATCTGTCGATTTAATTAATCTTTGTCGGCAGTCTTCTGCTGTGTGCTTAATTTTCATGATTGAATCGCGTTCCCATTCATTCACTTGTTGTATTAATGGACGATGATTGAGATCTTGCTGTTGCTCACTAATATTTTGTTGAAATGTATCACAATCAGTGACAATTTTTTCTAGTTCTAATACATGTTCTTGATGATGTTTTGGTAAATCTTGCGAACAAAATTTTTCTGAGCAACCGTCGCATGAGTATAAGTTGGATTTCTCTTTTTTACATATAAAACATTGTTTGGAATTTATCGCTGCAGTTGCCATGTCTTGAATATACTAACGTTGATAGGTGTATTTTTGAGACTGTTAACGAAAAGTTTGAAAGAAAGTGAATTTTTCTTATGATTTCATACACATATATACAAAAAAAACAACATGAGTCAAGGTCAATAAACATCAGTGGGAAATAAAAGAATGAAAAAGAAAGATTTTTCTGCATAGGGGTCTCACTTTATTTGTTTTTGCTTTATAATAAAGAATAAACCGAAATAAAATCTTTGTTTTTATAACATTAAAATGACTACATCTTTTCGGTAGCTTCCAAAAATATATGATACCACTGTGAGTAGAAAAATTTTTAATTTATTTTTTCGTGTATCAGCTTCATTTTTCAATAATATCACATGTGTATGGGTGTGATTGAGTTAAAAATACATTCACATTCACACACTCACACACTCCACATCCTTCAAGAAACAGCTCAATGAAAATTCAGATTCATCGTAACGATAATCAAGCTGTCGGATGATTTGTTTGAAGATTTTTGACGATACGTCGGTCATTTGTGGTAAGAGTCACGAAATGTGCTCCGAAGTAATACAATGAAGTGAGACTAGCTTTAAAATTTCAGTTTGCTTTTAAATTAAAATTAAAATGTAAATATGATTTAGTGCCCTTTATATAAAAAGAAAAAGAAAAAAAATAATATTTCAATTTGTATCTTCAACTGACACATTATATATTTTCTTTTGTGTTTAAATAAAATTTCTTGTTCTACAGACATTGTTATATTCGTTAGTTCTTATAAAATTAGTTCTCAAAGCAAAAACAAAAAGAATAATATATATATTTGGTATTTTAGTCAAAAATAACAAGAACGTAAAAGACATATCCTAAGGAAAGTATTAAACCCAGGCATTCCATTAAGTGAGTAATAGATCGTTACACAAAGCCATTCATTAGTGCCGTTCATCATTTCAGTTTACTTCTTCTACATCGAGGTATCTTATGTAACAGTCTCCATAACTACTCGTAGATATGATTATTTAGTCATTTACATGGTTTAAATTACTGCGGACAACTACTAAACCATACGATCAGAATGTTATTTCACCATCGTTCACTTGTGAACAATTATTCACTATCGAACATGCTCATACGCAAGTAGCCTATCTGATTTCGACACAATTGCTCGATATTGAAATAATTTATAAAAAAAATGTTACCTACACTGATGCACTCTTCCGTAGCTAATTATTTTTCTTTTTCGTTTATATCATTAAGAGCAACTACTCAAACTACGATGATCAGTGTTGTTTCTTGATCAGTTAGCTTGAATTCATTGTGAAGCATTAACCAAATGTAATGCTACGTAAGTCTCATTGAAAATCAATTTTATGGGAAAGATTCTTCATATATGAATATATACAGTTTCTTATTAAAACTTGTCCCTTTCTTTATTTAGAACAGCAAGAACAACTACAAAGTTTTCGATGACGATGTTTTTCTCGTGAACAATTAGCTTTCATTCATTCTTCCATCCCAAACACAAATACATAAGTATCATCATCAGTTTTATTTTATGTCCTTTCATATCCAAAAAAAAGTCAATCGAACAGATTCTTCACATATTGGTATATTTTTTCGATAAACATGAACAACCATTCAAACTTCATTAACTAGCTTCTGCTCATCTTCTGGTCTTCTAGAAATTGAAAAATAGTTATTGCTGGTCGTTTCAACTCGCTGCGTTTATAGTACTGAATGGCATGAAAATCATTTTTAATAAACCGATATAAGTTTTCTCTTTGTTTAGGTCAACTAAATCAGTCGATAAAATTTTGATGGCGAATTTTTCTTCTCAGCAATTCGTTCTACACTATCTTCTCAGTTTTATTAAGCGAATCGGTAAGCACTGTTGGTAATTTCAGTTTCACTTTCTCAGATGAAGAAAAACTCTAAAAGTCTTTCCTCAGATCAACAAGAACAGCTACTAAAACTTTCATGACGAGTTCCTTTTCTTCATAAATTATTTTCTTCTCATCTTGAAATACCAGAAACATCAGTGCGTAATATAATCATTTAGATTTCCTTCATGTCTTTTATAGTCAAAAAACATAAATAAAAATTTGATGCTTAATTTTCCTATTGATCGATTTCTATGCTTGTATCATTTGACGTCCAACAACAAAATACATAGTACTTTATTAATTTTAACTTGTATTTTTTATATTCAAGCGATATCCATCAAAGGATCATGCAGATATTAATCAATTTTTTTTGTTAAGTAACTTTTTCTGGCTTTTCAGATCAACAATGACAACTGTTAAGTTTTTCGTGTCATATTTTACCCCGATCAATCAGTGTATGTGTACCTTCTGTGTTTCGAGAAACGAGCCATTAAATATAACTGACGAGGTTAGCTACTTTTTTCTGTACTATTAAAGTCACGAAAATTCCTTTCAATATATCGACGGATTTTGTTTTATTAATAATCTTTTCTTTTTTGTTTAGATCTCCAAGAACAACGACTGTCACATCGATGGTGAACTTTTCTGCTCAACAAGTCATTCTTCAATACTACCTTTTCAACTGCCGAACGTCTTTTGTATTGGTTCAAGTTAAGAAAAAAAATTCATATAATATATCGCAAAATTTGCTTTTGACGTCTTTTCTTTTCTCAGATCGACAGTAACAACTACACATAAACATCATTGTCGAGTTGTTTCTTGTTATTCAATGCAGTTTCCGATCATCATCAAATATAAAACAAAACGATATACAAGTATTATTTCTAGTTTTAGTTCATATTTTTATATTAGTAAGAAAGTTTTTTTTTTAATTTTCTCTTATATCAATGATTTTCTTATTTATCGTTGCTTTTGTCTGTTTAGATGAGCAGCGACAGCCATAATAGGATCTTCTGTTATTTCTCTTTGTTGTTCAGGTCCTCTTCAACTTACCCTTAGCAATAAACTGACTAGGTACGTGTAATGGAACACTTTACTGCAAATCGTTTCTATGGAAAAAAGTAATAAAAATATTCTCAATTAGTTGTTCTTTTTTAGTAGTGAATCCTTGTTTTTTAGCTGAGTAAGAATAATTTTCAATAGTGTTGCAAAAAAGTGATGTTATAAATTGGTTTGTTTCACGATCATCGTATAATATTCAATATCATGGCGGGTAAGTTCCATGTAACATTAAAATTAGCTATTTTGTTTGTTTTAGTGGAAACGCATCAAAAACATTCTTCGCATATCAAACTATTGGTTTTTTAATATATCGTTTGTTGTTCTTTATGTGAACAATCAAAAACAGGAGTACTGAGATTTCCAAAGTCTTTTCTCAATAACTTGATTTTGTCTCGTATGTTCTTGTGTATAACACAATTAAATATAGCTGTGGTTGTGAATTGTATTTCACTTCTTTCATTTCAAGGAAATAAGTCAGACAGATTTGCGCACATTTCCAATTTGTATTTTCATCATTTCAATAAGTGCCAAGCGTTTCTTTCGTATTAAGGCAATCATGTTGTCTACAGAATTTAATCTATCCAATATCTTCAATTTTTCTTCCATTGTACTAGTATTTTTCAAAAGATCTCTCATTTCGTCGTTTTCAGCTTCAGCTCTTTTTTCGTCTATATGCAATTCATACAGACGACTGTTTATACTGTCGAAAGAAATCGAGGTGGCCATGTCCGACCTACCAAAAATTCGAAAGATGAACATTTTAAAGCAATCAGATGGATAGAAAAGTGCACTGTAAGTCTTACAGAGTTTCAGATCAAATTCAATTGAGATGTGTCGAAATACGATTAAAAAAAATTTCGATGAATTAAATCTAAAATAAATGAAATCTAAAATTCAAGATTTTCTTAATCGTCGAGAATGAGCAATCGATTAGGAGCAATGAGTTTTTTCACAATATGATATCAATCAATCGTCTCAATGAGTGTACGTTTTAGTTTGTAAAGTGCAAATTTTAATGAAAACAATTTTATATTTCATTTTGAAAAAAGCTTAGAATCAAATCTTCGGCGACAAAGAATCAACTAAGTGTTTATTAATCGTCGGATCTTGATCCAGTGTAAAATTTGGATTTCGTTGATTTTCCGCTAAAAATAAAATAAAATAAAAAGTTCACTTGTTGTTTTTAATTGAAATGCAGTTGTTACAAAATAAGCAACAAAACGATTTAATTTTGTATATGCGGTATATGATCAGGTAATGGTGGTAACATAGGCGGTGGAACGATTCAAGTCTAGAGTAGACTCAACTTTTCAGCCAAACCAAGCCGATGAGTTGGTTGAAAAGTGATGTTCTTCATTTGTCTATAATGGTAGGCGTCAGAGACCCAAGCATGCTGACATTTTCTGGTCTGGTCTTCCTGTGACAGGCCTACACACTCCCTAATCTGTCAGTGCCTGTTACTTCTTTTCTTTCGTCTGGCTAATTTCTCTGTCTAGCTGTTTTTACCCCAACATCAAGTTATTAATAAAATATAATTAAGTACTAATATTCATAGAAAATCAAACAAGGATATGGAATCCATTTACACGACAACGGTAAAGACTTCTAATGTGAGCATTCAACAAAATATTTTAAAATATTCACTATACAAGACCTCTTCTCATTTTGGGACCATAGCATTTAACGATAGGAGTGGCGTGACGAACAAAGATGACCTCAGGAAGTTCTTTCTGGTTGGTAGAGACGACGAAAAAGCACGTGTATTTCGCGATAAAGAGACTTTCAATTGTCGGATAACTAATTGAAATGCATTGGTAATTATATAAAGTGATTCAAGAGAAAATCGTCAACTAAAGAAAACGAAATGTTTGTGTTAGAAAAAGAAATCCTGGACTATCCCATGCTTTTTCCTTTGGATTGAGTATCTAACGAAACAAGCAAATTGGTGATTACAGAAATCGTGTTTTAGCATTTGTATCTTGACGATATATAACATTTGAGATTTATAGTACACCTTCGCATCGTTTTATATAAAAGTTTGGGTCCTGTTCATAAAGCTTTCTATAAATCCAATAATGTTTGAACTTGGAGGTATACTCTTTTACATTAAACTGAATATTTTCCTAACTTTAACCCTATTTATATGAAAGATAGGCTTGATTATTGTGGGGATTTGTTTTTCGTATGGCTCAATGAAAATTTTATTCATAAAAGAATCCAGAATACTTAATTTTTACCATCAGAACAGTATCAAACGGTACACTAGTATACCTTTTTTATATGTAATAATAGTCATGTTTTGTTGATTTGTTAAACTTTTTTATTTACAGAACATTGAAATGTTCTTGACATTGAATAATCTCTGTCATTAGAATACCTCTATCAAAATGAAAATCAGAAATATTTGTTGGTAAACGATATTTTGACATTTTTTCATTGAATCCATGTTTAAGAAAATTCAATAGAATTATCCATTTGTTTTTTTTCTATTTATACTTATGCTATACGACGTTTAGTTGATGAGAAAAATATTTGAAGTTCAACAGATAAAAATGCTTCAGCATTTTCATAAGCACAAAGAAAAACAAATCGATTATCTTGTTTAACATTTCTATAGGAAAATAAAACAATATTTATCTATTGCAAATAATCCTAATAAATTCATATATAATTGATCTAATTGAATTCAATTCAATAGTTCTCACAGTTACATATGTTTGTAGTTGTTTTTGTTTGTCAAGTGTACGATATGAAAATTTAATTGCAAATGGGATTCAACGTAAACATTTTTTTTAATGTTGTACCATCTTTTTTTTCATAATTATCACAGACAATAACAAGAATCTTCAATAAAGAAACATTCTGTGTGTTGTAGCGTTTTTTCCTTTACGATACTTACTGGTACTTGGACTGGTAATTCTTATTCTTCGGTTTGTGTTGAATTTGAATTAATGGCATCACTAAAATAATCTATCCAACAACTATAAACATCTTGATCATCGGAACTTGTGGGAGGTTGTTCACGGAGTTTCTGTTGATCACGCATATGTGTTGCTTGATGAAGAACTTTTAAATTATTTATTGTCGATTTTAAATACCATATTGGAGGATTTAATAAATACATATGTAAGGTAGTGTTAGGTCCTTTTCCAGTTTATTTCCTTCAATCCTTCTTTTTCACACAAAAACAAAAAACAAGCAACCAGATATGTGCAGTATCTCCCTTTCTTTCTTCCACCAATCGGTTTCCATCTCATAACTATGATCGAGGGATAAAGATGCTCGTCTTATGTATCTACTGACATAACAGGCAGCTAAACATGCTTTTGACGAACCGCGTTGGATAGCATGAAGTTCAAAACGTGTTGCCACATCCTAGTAATCTGTTAAATCATGAAGTGAACGACCCAAGGGGGGGAAAAGCGCGACTTCCGTACTTTCGTACTCCCCTGTACTTCCCTCGTACGTCCCTCGTACTTCCCTTGTACTTCCTTGTTTTTTTCTTGTACTTCCATCGTACACTGTAAAAAAATCCGTACAATACTAAACCCTAAAAGGGTTGATGAAAGTGCAACGTATAATAAACCCTTTTTTGTTTTTGAAAATTTTCATAAACCCTAAAGGGTTTATAATTATGTGGAAAATACCCTTTAGGGTTTATGAAAATTTTCAAAAACAAAAAAGGGTTTATTATACGTTGCACTTTCATCAACCCTTTTTGGGTTTAGTATTGTACGGATTTTTTTTACAGTGTACCCCCTTGTACTCCCCTCGTACTTCCATGTACTTCCATCCAATAGAAAAGTAGATGCAACAGCTTCACGAAATGCTCAAAATAGCTGCTGGAATCAATTTGACTGTTGGTTGTCGACGTTGGATTACTTGAATCTGGCATCAATTTTTAGATATTTTTTACCGGATGCTTTTTTGGTCAAGATATTTTTTTGAGAAAGAATTAATTTCGGTAAAGTTTGACCATAGGTTGTCAAGATCGGGGAACTCGAATCTGGCATCGGTTTTTAAGAATTTTTCACGCAATTTGTTTTTGGTAAAAAATATTTTTTTGAGAAATAAATTATTTTCGATAAAAGGAGGAGTGGATAAGGCCGTTTTCCGGCCCCTCAGGTATGAATTATTTCTATCAGTTATTATTTAAGGATCATTTTTGATCACTTTTTTCAACTTTGTTTCCCAAAACTCGACGTTGGCGATTTTTTTTGCCTGGGGTACCCCACAGGTATCATCGAAAACAAAATTTGTTTTATCACGAGCCAAATCTTAACGTAATTGTAGATTTAATGGTACTGATCACGAATATCACAATAAGAGCTCCGAAAATTTCTTTATTCCTTATAAAATCTGAACCACTCGCTTGGCCCTATTTTTCATTGTCTGAGCCCTCATAGAATAACGAAACGATAAAATTTAGTGCAAAATGATTTCCTCTAACTGGTAATTTTGAGTTCTCTGCGAATCTTAAGTTTTTACATCGAAAAAATGTAACTTATAGGAAAAAAGTAGGGATTTCGTGGGAAAATTTGACCCCTTCTCGCCATATTTGTCTACCATGAGAATGAAGAAAGTCTACCGCAATGTCAAATTTTGATCGTAAGTGCAGTTTTTCAAGCTCTATCGACTGAAGATCTCAAAAATAATAGAAAAGTTGTGCAACAGGGTGAAAAGTTAAGAACACGACTAATTTCTATCAAGTTGATGCAGTGAACCACTGCTACTAAAAATTACAAGATCGGGAAATCAACAGATATATAGTTCATCTTGTATAGCGTAATGAACTGTGCACACACTTAAAGAATTATGGATCTCCGTTCTTTCTTTTGACTCACATGTTCGCTTCAAAATATGCATGAGTCGTTCCAAGTAGGTAAAATTTCACATCACTTTTTGAACCGAAAGAAAGAACTGAGATCCATAATTGTTTTACTGTATGTACAGTTGATTAAGCTCTGCAATATGGGCTACATATCAGTTGATTTCAAGATCTCATATATAATCGTGGCTGTGGTCCCCTACATCAATTTTATAGAAATGATTAGTATTCTTAACTTTTGACACTGTCACACAATTTTTCTATTATTTTCGAGATCTCCACTCGATAGAGCTTAAAAACAACGCTTACGATCAAAATTTGACGTTGTGGCAAGACTCGCTTCATAGAAAACTACTAATAGAAAAACTATATATTTAGAAGACAGTCAATGTTTGCCACTGAGTCGCCATCTCGTTTTCTAAAGGGTTCATTTTTCAGTATCAAAGGTTCAAATTGCGTGAGAGTTCAACATTTTTGGTTAACAAGCATATTTTCTACTTAATTTAAAAACAAATGCTATTGTATAACAGTCCCAACAATGAAAAATAGGGTCAAACGAGGGGTGACGACGATTTTGGAAACAAAGTAGTTTTGAGACTTCTTATTTGTACATTCGTAATCAGTACCATTAAATCTACAATTGCATCAGGCTTTGGCTCGTCATAAAACAAATTTTGTTTTCTATGATACCTGTGGGGTGCCCCAGGCAGAAAAATCGTCAGTGTCGATTTTCGGGAAACAAAGCTGAAAAGGTGATCAAGAATGATCCCTACATAATAATTGATAGAAATAGTTCAAATCTGAGAGGGGCCGCAAAACGGACTTATCCGCCCTCCTCCTTACCTAATATTCTCAGAAGTATTACAAATCTGCAACAATATAAGCTTACGCTATTTTTTTCCTCTTTTTTTGTTTTTGTTTTCGCTATTTTCCGCTTTTTAAAGCCAGCTTTCCATTTTTAGACCTCATCAGGTGACAACCCTATGTGACATTCTTACATCTGCTGGTAGCTAATAAGATGAACTGATCAATTCGATTAGCGCAATGAAAAATACAAATATTTTTAGGTTGGTAGAAGAATATCTATCGAAAACTCTCATAGAATGTATTATATATCATAGTTCTGAGTAATAACATACTTAAAATGAAAACCATGATACTTATATGAGAAGTTGTTCATAGTTCAAGATAGTTCATTGCACTTCTCTTGTACTTCACTCGTACTTCCCTGTACTTCGCTTGTACTCCCTTGTAATTCACTTGTACTCCATTGTGCTTCCCTCGTACTCCCTTGTACTTCGCTTGTACTTCCATGTACTTCAATTCTTTTTGAAGTAAATGAAGTCGCGCTTTTTCCCCCTTGGTCCATCGTGACACTTTTAAGCATAAATTGTTAACAATATTGGCACAAGATATTGTTTTGTTGCTGGCCGTTCTAATAATAGGGCGTTTGGTGCGTTCATCAACCTTTTTTCTTCGACCAGTTCGGCTTCTCGAGCCATATTTAAGTGGATCTTTTAAAAAATTTGTTACCACTGTCTTCGATCGATTGATTTTTTTGGCAATTTCTCGATGGGATTTATTTTTCTTGTGTAGTGCTAAAATCAACTTTTTTTCACTTTCTGTTAGTTGTATTTCTCTGGGCATGTTATAGCCTAAATCTCAGTGTTGTCCTGTGTGTTAATTTTATTCAAAGTCACTGATGATTCACTTAGTATCAAAAACCAACCATGTGGTCTCATATTTATGCACCACCAAAATGGAGGTAATTTTAGATATATAAGAAAATAAAAAGACTCGTGCTTGAAAATTTTATAGCGCTATTCTTATGAATTATCTATGTGAAATCACTAAAAATATCGCTCATTTTATTTAGTGCACTTTGAAAACAAGTGGTCTTATAATTATGCACCACACTGTATTTACCTCAAGCGTCTAGAAACTTAGACGCTTCATGTGTCTAACTTCTGTCTAAAATAGACATTAGACGCACGAACCGTCTTGCAAGACGCTTGTCACTTTTTAGAGTGTCCATACAGATCATATTTCCACGATTGATCCTTCTTTTCCTCCTGAGATATAACTTTTTGATCATCAAATTTATTGCAACATGTGCTATTCCATATATATATATATGCTTATCAGATTTTTTTGACCATTTCATTTCGAATAGGTCAATTAGATTTTGTTGTCGAATTTATTCGTAGTCGGTAGTCAACGTTACTCAACTGATTCTATCAATAGTCATCGTTTAATTCATAATGCTTGTATTTTATATGATCAGAAGAGAACATCAGTAGTAGAGTTAAATGCAGAACAGTTATATTTTTAATTGGCAGTAATAAAATCTTTTTCATAATGTACCTTGCCATTTTTTACTTGCTGGTAGATATTGTAACGATAAGCGACCGAATTTATCGCTACATAAATGTACTGTATGGAAGATCATATGGTCCATCAATGAAAAACAACTATTTATTCTAAATGCTAGCTCTAAAAACTTCCTTTTAGATATGAAACATATTTTGATGTTTTTCTTTCAGTTTTCTAATCGGGCGTTATTGCATATTCGTCATATTCAGGTAAAATTTTCAGAAATTGACTAGTTTTCTATTCAACGTAATTATATTGAACAATTTTTTTGTTTTAGCCTCACAGGTTTGATTCTTATTTCATTGTCTATGTCTTGCTTTTAATTTAGTGTATTGATAGTTCAACGTCAATCTCAACGATGTGATGGAATGGCTGACTACGCCGAATGTTCGACGCATTCAGCGTGTGCCTGTTTTCGTATGGTATCTTCCTCTAACGCTAGTATTTGTATCGGCCAGTTCTGGCTGTCTTGTTCTGAACTAGTTCAATGCGAAAGCCCAAGCAATAATTGTAATGAACCCGAATATCTGTGTGTCAATCATACTCGATGCCATAAGTTTCCTGTTTGCTATCCTGTACCGAGTTTCAATCCAGAATACTGTCCACCGATAAGTAAGACCACATGCACAAAAAGCATCTTCGTATTGTGACTATGCAGAAAAGGTGAACAGCATCAAATAAAATGCTTCTCTTCACTTGTTAGCCTTCATTCAAAGTCATTGATTGACTAAAAGCTCAAAAAGTTCAAAACGAATCATTTAGTTGCGAATTAAAAATATTCTAATTCAAGAGACTGTTTGAAATCTAAAGTGGCCGATAAGGTAGTAACGATTAGTAATCGAATCGTTACCTGGAAGATGTATTATGATAGATTACTCTAATTAGTTTGAGGTATAGATTGGGTGGAGACTTTTTTCTTATAGCATGTCGACTCGTTCAGGCAATAATCCTAACATTTTATTTCTGCAGTATTAGACTGTTCGTCCGACACTGATATTTTCGATGTTTAATGATAGAATATATTAATATCGTCAGATGTGCATACTAGCAATTCAAAATGATTTGTGATAAGTAAATACCATATTTCACATGAACAGATTAAATTGCAGTCATAGTGAGTTCCCATTCAATTTTTGTTTCTATCAGCATTGAGTGTAAGTGAGAAATTTGAACAAGACCAGACAACGTCGATGAATATTCTAATTCATAGTGACATTTCTGCGCCTATGATAACAACGCTCGAAATGAAGTGTTCTATTTTTTCTGTAATTACTAATTTAATAAGTTACATTCTATAATATTTCCATAACTGTTTTCTTTTGTCTGTGTGACGGTAGAATTTCGATGTATGCATTAGAATGAAACAGAGACACTAATGGCAAAGCCCACATTTCTATACTTTGAAATCTACTCCATAAAATACAAGCGAATTCCATATAAGAGCGGGCACTTCTTCCTTCTCATCCGACCCTCGTTTTCTCTGCTCATGTTCACAGTCATCCTCGTGTCAGTTCAACTTCAAGCTGCACGTACAACAATTTTCATATGTCAACTACTCAAAGAATCGCGTGCTTCGTTCAAATTTTGAGAAAAACTCAGTTCTATATCATCTTTTATGTGAAAATCAAACTATTTGACTTTTTCTCAACAAATGATCTGTGATAATCAGTAATAACGAATAATACTGTAGGTACAGCTACCACGACGCGTGCAACTACCACATCCACTACAACCACCGTGACGAGCACATCCACCGCAACCACCGTGACGAGCACACCCACCACAACCACCGTGACGAGCACATCCACCACAATGAGTACTAGTACGACCACCACAACAGGTACAACCTCCAGACCAACCACAACACGTACAACCACCAGACCAACCACAACACGTACAACCACCAGAACAACCACAACAAGTGCAGCTACACTGTAAAAAAAAAGGGTAGAATAATAAACCCTTTAAGGGTTTATGAAAGTGCAACGTAGACTAAACCCTTTTACCGTATGTGAAAAGTTTC